ACCGACGTTTCGGGCCCTTTACAGGTCCCATGGTCACGGTTGACTGTAAAGGGCCCGAAACGTCGGTTTGTTTGAAAAAACAAATATACGCGATTTAAATCCGGAAAAATAGTTTCATTTCCTATATGCAATTTAATTTTAATTGTCTGCAATTTAATTCTTTTATAGTATCCGGTGATTTGTCAAATATTTTGAGAGCTAATACAAACAACGTTCTATTATAAAATTCCAAATTGTGGTTAGTTTGCGTGTCACGTGTGCCAAAGCGCCAACAGTGTAGAAAAATACCTTATTTCGCTTTTTATATTTTTTTGTTACAAGAAACGAAAGTAATATAACTTTATACCCTGCAATATACTCGGTTCGTTTTTGGAGAGCTAAGTAAGCATCTCGAAATCGTCGTCGTGCAGCTCCTGACCGCTAGATGGCGGCACATTGATTGAAATTTCAATATAAAATCAAAACATAACTAGCAATAATAGGTATTAATGGTATTGAATTTCCAACAATATCGGTATATTGTACAGGGTAACGTTTAAATTATATTAACAGTCCAGAATTTGTTATTTCGTTTTAAATTTGAAACTACAACCAATCATTATTAAGATAACATAGTATCTCAAATTATGAATGTGCGAGTTTTGGCAACAGCGGTTCTGATAGTAATCGAGGTGTTAGACACTGCCATCGTTTTTTTCCTTCCATGGTGTAATCAGTGATTAGAATTCACCTCTTTAGGCAATGCGAAGTAGTCTGCCGAATTCAGCACTCGACCCTATGTAGACACGTCATTAGTAAACTCGGGATGCACGAAAAGAACCTCCGTGCATGAACACCATTCCTTTATGTCTAGCTCTAGTCCTTTACGAACGTCTAGCGCAACTCTGGGCAACAATCGGCGTTTGCCTTAAGCATATTGGCAAATCTTTACACCACGTTGGCCAGTATTATAGTGTAAGCTGTCGATACGATAAGAAGAAGAAGTAGCTCTTAAAAGTGACAATAATACTTATCTATAGATTGTATGACATAGTCTATGAGTTATTTTTATAATATCAAATGACGGGACGGACAAGTTATGCGCTTCATAGCTTTAAATTGCAAAGATCTGAGGGGCACTGCCACCGCGCCCGTCACTCTGAGACACAAGTTAACCAGTCCCAAGTGCACCCTTACCCTTCAAAACCGGAACGCATTAAAGCTCATATTACTGCGTGTCGACAGAAATAGGTAAGGTGGCAGTAGTCTTTTGGAAGAACTCTTTCGTAAGGAGCTCTACTGCTACTAGAGTCACCGTCTTTCAGTGCTCATTGAAAACCAGCGCCACAGTCAATCATGGCTGTGGCTTATGCTGAATGAAGTCCTTTTGCGCACGCCACAACCACACATATAACACTACAAAATTTGCATCATTATATTTTCATGCAGTCGTTATATTTTGTTTCTTGCTTTTTAAATTAGCAATTCGTAAAACGACAAACCTGGGTAAAATCGTCGTCAACTCGTCTGCGAAACACATTGGTTGGCACCACACTACGCTGAGGCACCTGCCGCAGCTTCGGTGGTACCACTTTGTACTTCCACTCTGACGATGGTATGCTGTAAGGAGAAGGTTACCTTATAATTATTAATACAAAGATGGAACACTCAGAAAAAACACTCAGAAAAAATTCCTTCGATCCGGTCGGATTCGAACCGACGTCTTCTTGCATACCGTGCCAGACGCTATACCAACTAAGCCACGGAACGAACCAACAGACCTCACGAATTTTTCTATGTGCTTGCGTCATGTCTTTGTACTTGGTCTTTCAATGACTTTTTAGTCGTAGCGCCATCTATGAGAAATCTATTACAGATTTATCACCCAGTTAGTACCTTTACAGCTACCAGTCCCGGCGAGAGATGTCGCTATTCACTGTATTAATTAAATTTTTATTGAATTGATATTCAATTATTTTAGAAGGTTACCTTATTAAGATAAGTTTGGTGATAGTTTTAGCGATCTTGGAGGCCTAGGGATTACTAGCACTCTAAGTGCTATGTGAGAAGGCAAAGCCGAAATTTTCAGACAAACAGAGCACCTGGTAGTAAGCGACACCCCTGTTCATAACAGTTGCATTGCCACTCAGAGCTTTAAATCAATTTGAAGGGGTAACATCGCCCGTTCCCTGAGACATTAGTTTTCCAGTCCAATGTGCTTGTAATTTCACCAGCACCCTTTAAAACCAGAACGCACACATTAGTGCTTGGCGGCAGAAAGATATAGGACTGTTCAGGATTGCATTCCTTTTTAATTTCAGTTTTGTTTCTGTTTCTTGTTAGAATTATTCAGATTCTTATGTTTGCTTGTGGGAAGACATTTAACGTTTTATCTATCTGTTTATTCTCAGAGTTAAATTAATTACTCCCACCTGGATGTCATCTTTACTTGGTTGATACTCCTTTCGGGTGTACTAAGCGCTTTTCGTCATATATTTTGAAATTTCTTCTAAATTTATTTCGGAAAACATAAAGCTTTGTAGAAATATTACAAAAAATAATAATAATAATATATCTTTATTAACTTTTTAGCCTTATCACTAATATACATAAAAAGTTGTTACTAAATATACAATGAAAAAGGCATACGCTAAGGTTTGAGAATACACTGGCTCCTAAACTAGACTAGAGTCTGTGTCTTAGGAGTCAGGTTGAGTTAGATGTATCGTAAATGGTTTGCGCCTTATAAAATATTATCCAGGTTAAAATTTGTTGAATTTTGAAATGTATTAACTTATTAACAAACCAAGTTGTTCCATTAACTACGTACAAATATAAAAAAAAATCTGAATTTGTACAATGGACACCTATCGAAAATGAAAAGAATTGGTGACATTTATCAGAAAATAAACAAACGACATTGAATCCTCGCTGAGCATACTCATAGACTTCCTTATCAGAGTTAGCAGAAAAAAGCAGAGCAGTATCATCGGCTTAGGATAAGTAATTCAGTCACAGAGATTTTAGTTTATTCATGAGGTCCTCTGTCAAATATAACATCTCACACTTTTTTCTTGTACCTAACTCATCCATGATAACGTAAGTGTTGTTTATTACACACGACCAAGGAATGGTTTTTCGGCCACTAACCTTGTTTTATTAGATTTAGCCATTACTCATTAGAGTAAGCCGTGCTAGGCTATTGGTTTGAACACGGCCAGTGAAAATTACTATCAAGTAACCAAAAATTAAAATTAAAAAGTAAGTTACATTACATTACCTGTTCTCAAAAACATCGTTCCTCAAAGCATCTTCACTGCCGCAACAAGAAAACAGCCAACCTCCCCCACACCCTCTTAGCCTTGTGCCTCCCCGCAGCCAGCAGCTGATGGACAGCATGCAAGGCTGCACGTCAGGGCCGTAGTTGCAAGATGTCGGGTAACCGAGGAGAGAAGCTATCATACGGCTTGTGATATCTGGATATTATGAATAAAGTTCTGTGAGTTGTAAAGCGGGGCAACTAATATAAATTGCAATGAGAAGATTCTAAAATAGTTCAGTAAGTAATTATGATACAAACAGGTTTCAAAATTGACTTTCAAAATTTGAAATCGCCTTTTTGTAAAACGCATTTTGTGCTCGGATTACCCGAAATTTCTTTACACAATATTTATTAAAGATATATGACGTTCAACAAGTCGTGCTTCTGGTGATAAGCGGCATGGCTACCCGTAACAGTTTTAACACTTAAATACCTGAAGGGCACTGCCACTGCGTCTGTCACCCTGCGACACTAAGTTAACCAAGAGCCTATAATCTCACCAGCTCCCTTCTTCGTAACGTTTTATTTATCGTTGGACGACTGTTGCGTTTAGCCTATTCCCATCGTGATTGTGTCGTGGACTTTTTTGTATCGTTGAACGACAGTCATGCCTAGCTGTTCCCACTGGATTGTGATGACAATTTATCGTTTCACGGCATCTACCTTGTTGCTTGCAGATATGAGACAACGATAAATAAGACATGACGACAATAGTAGCTGCGATTATCTGCCGTCACACTTTTATCGTGACGTTTTATTTATCGTCTGACGACTGTCATTCCAGCTCTTCTCATTGTCTTGACAGTCTGTCAAAAAAGGCCTTTACCCTTCAAAACCAGCAAACCTACCAGAACCCTGCATTGCTTCACATTACTGTTTGTCATTAGAGATAGGTATGAGGACAATACTAAGTACTTTATTATGAGTACAATCACCACTTAAAATTAATCGTTGAAATATTTTGATGCACTCTTTGTAGAAATATTAAAAGGAACTCGAATTGCGTGTTGTAAGGAGCTTCGAGTTGCACTTATAATTATATTGAAAGTTTTAAAACCAAATAAGTATAAAAAATATATTTACCTTCAACAGCACCATTGACTTGTCCAGTAACATTCAAAATCATCAAAGGAATCAAAACGCCGTTCAATCTCCATCTTTTACTCTGCTTCCAGCTCCTTCTCTCACTTTTCTCATCTCTTCGGAACTGATTTTTACACTTTACATCAACACTTTCCCATTTTTCTTCCTTTATACTTTGTACTTTACATCTTTCATCACGTAATATATCACCACTTTGTTTCTTACATAACAAAGTGCAGTTATATACACTTTGCTCTTTCTCTTTAGCACTTTGCCTTTTCTCCTTCATGTATCTTCTAGATGCATGTCTTTGTTTGTTTTTGTCTCTAACCCCTTCGAACAGGCTTGATGTTAAGTATTGTCGATTTCTCAGAACTCGGTTGCAGTTTGTTTTCAGTCTATTTTCTCTGTGATTGGTCCATTTCACGGTGCTCACCGGAGGCATTGTGGTCCAGACATAGCGCGCATTGATTGTCTCTGGAAGTAATGGATTCTAGAGATTGTACAAAAAGTGAATCAATCACCCCTACCACAAAGTGCATACATGCTTATACAACGTAAGAGTCTTTTTTTAATGATACTAAGTGAAGGAACGAACTAGTTGTAGGCCTGGTGGTAAGCGTCACGCCTGTACCGGAAAATTAACAGTTGCAAATAAAATATAATTTGACACAAACGCGTATACAGGGTGACATTTTTTTAATTCATGATGTTTTAAGAACCAACTATTTTGTTATTAATAACAGACACACGTTTGGCCGCAGTTTTACCTGATGTTAAGGGATATGACCTACTTACTACAGATTATATTCTTTAATACAAACTACATTTATTAAAAGGAACAAAAAATAAGGGAAGGCTGATATTTTGTACTTTTGTTGTAATACATACACATGCAAAAAGACAACTTTTCAGGAAAGAGGAACTTTTTTATTAATTAAGAGAGTTACAAAATTACACACAATATACGTAATTTGTTTCATGTAACTCGTGTTATTTCTATGACTTTTTTTAATAATAATAAAATCGTTTATTGTCTCCACAAACAGTGCACGTAAAAATAAATACTTTACATAATATCAAAATCTGGTTCCAGAGGCTGGTTCCTGAACTAAAACCTGTATCTCAGGTAACCAGTCCCCACCCCTTGGCGGACTTAATTATATTCCAATGAGGGTAAACTAAAAGAGTGCAACAAAAATATGTGTGCCTATGTGTGTTGTGTTGTCTTTGTGTGTTGTGTGCCTGTGTGTGAAACTTTGACATGTGCCTTTGTTATACCAAGGGCACGAAACTGTTTTTTTCTTTCAGTGACATTGCAACGTATTTATGTACAGCTAGTGTACTATAAAAATACTTAGATATGACTTTAACTGTACAATTTCACATAGATTTTCATGTGATAAAAGCACTTTTGGCGTTCGATCACATGTGTTATTATAACCAAGGGTTCAAAATGATATTTACTCATTTATTTATTTATGAATTGATGATAAAATGTCAGCCTGTATAAGAACGATTTGGCGGGTCGCATCGGCCCAAAAGCGCGCCGACGCGTGAGTTGCTTTCGTTTTAATTGACGATCACATTGCGGGCGTCAAGTTTTTTATATTGTCTTGTTTGTCAGATAAAGAATGATAGAATTGTGAAAAATCTTTGTCGAATAAGGTTGACAGAAGATAGAAAGAAGAAGAAACATGTAAATATGAATACCACTCCTCGTAACTTTGAAGAGTACATCGGACTAAAAGCCTAATACATCCTGAGGGTCGAGCGGCAAGGAGTTCCTCCACTATTCGTTAGTGGTGAGAGTGCCGTCCGAATATTTGACGATTTTCATGAAGGAGGAGTTTTAGCCGAAAGGTATCGTCGTAAAACAAGAATGTTATCTTTAGAGATATTTCCACGAAATACCATGTCATATCAGGCTCACTTATTATAATTATATATAAACTGTTGGCAATGTAGTTCGATTTTTAAGTGTAATATTATAGATAATATAATATGTAATATGTAACATTATATAACAGTATGTAAATAACTACTATACAATGTATGAGTGTTTGTTGCCACCATCGAGTATATAACCAGACATAGAGACGAAAAGTCATTTAATTTGTTTGAAAACTATTCTGCCAAATCATTACGATGACAACTGCGCTCCGATTGGCCAGCCTGAATTAGAAACCATTGACAGGTGTCGTCAATAGTTTCGTTTCAAATCGGCGAGTTTAACTTGAGCTTTGCTATAATGGACGAAAATTGAAAAATTACACATTTAATATTTAATTGCCGATGAAATGTGATTGCGTTTGTTTTGTAATTAGATGTTTTGCTGTTTTTCCCACACCACCGAATGGAACAGTCACCATTGTTAGAGATATTATCTTTATTATAATAAATACAGAATATTTTTGGAATATGCGGAGAGGATATTTTTGGAGTGTGCGTACACACAGGCCAGTTGTTGGCGCTGTACTATTTCAGCTTTCTAATTTGTGATTTCAGCGCAAACGATAGTTGATATTTAAAAGTGATATTAAGGCCCATTTGCCTAATGAGTTACCAGTGATGGATGGCTTCCACAAAGAAATTAAAAGCAAAAAATATACCGTGACTATGTAAAAAAGTCAATTTTCGGAGAAATTAACTTAGATGTTTCTGAAAATAAGATTTAATTTAAAAAGCAAAATTTTAGCTTAGTGACGGTATATAATAGCGACCTATCTCAATAACACCATTACGACAATGTTAAATAGACAGGTGTAATCGTGTACGTACATACACAATATGTTGATTTGCATTCTCGCCGTATTTACAGAGGTCATTCTATATCCGAAACTGAACCCAAATCACAAAAAAATTAATCGAAAAAAATGTCATAAATTCATATTTTTTATTTAATTGCGGTAAACAAATTTGATCCAAAGGTCATTGACTTGTACGGCACTTGCAAACATTTTGAACATTGACCTTAAATGCGCAGAAAAAAACGTTTTTTAGATCTATTTGGTGGTGGGGTGCGGGTAGCGACGGCGGGGCAGTGTCGTATCAAACGCGCGATTGGTAGATCAGACGACCTTGCTTCCCGTACTGCGTCTACGTCACGCATACATTCTATTCTAGTCGGTCACGAAATGCGATGTGGTTCGGTATGTAAACAAGAGTTAGTAGTGCAAAAAAAAACCGCAACCAGGTTCACCAGAACCTGCATGGCAATCCATCAAGTACAAGTGCCTGTCTATTCTTATGGCATGATGTGAAACGGTTAGTTTACGGCGCAGACATTTCGACACTCGTAGGAGTGTCGAAAGAGTTTCTGCTTCCAAAGTTGTGGAGTCTAATGTTAAAGCCAGCAGTGCAGAGCAATACTTTCATGTAACCTAAAGTTGGTAAGTACCAAATCTAAGTTACTAAAAACTTTTTTCAGTCAACTTTTCTAATTAATGTAAATAAATAGTAAATTATAACAATACTAATGGTAAAACAATACTACTAGTATTATTATAATTCACTATTTATTTACATAATCATAAAAAAAGAGGTAAATAAGCGATCGAGAAATATTACGTATCGCTCGGTGAAGCGGGAGCGGGGTCACTGCCCTTGCGCGGTGAATACGACTTCAGACAATTTTGCAAAACTTTACTATATACAATTAGCCAGAATATTGAACAGATTGAACAGAGACTTTTCAATTATTTTTAGATGATTTAGCATTATTTCTATTATTAATTTCTTAAATATGCCGAGAATGCAAATCAACTCACTGTATTTATAATATAACTTACACACGTACTCGTAATTCACATGTCATGTTTTGGTAGCAGAGGAGCTCCTTGTGAAAGAGTTCGTCCAGGGTAGTACTGCCACCTTACCTATTTCTGCCGTCAAGCAGTAATGTCAGCATTACTGTGTTCCGGTTTTGAAGGGTAAGGGTGTTGGTGAAATTACAGGCACATGAAACTTGTCAACTTATGTGTCAGGGTGGCGGGCGCATTGGTAGTGCCCCTCAGATCTTTGCAACTTAAAGCTCTGAGTGGTACTATAACTGTTATGGACAGGCGCGGCGTGTAGCTTACCGTCAGGCGCACGACTTGTTCGTCCCGTCACTTGATGTAATAGCACCTTTACGTGTAAATCAATATCAGACATAAAATAAGTGTCTGAGCGTAATTGGAGGTTATGTAGATAATATGAATGTATAAAAGATGTATGGTTGGATAATATTCCAAAGTCAAAACTGTCAGTTTCATTTAATTCTCTTAAAAATGTCTTTTATAAACAATTCTTTTGTTTTATTTTCGAAAGTACACGTCAGTTTGTGTTAAAGACAAAGACAATAAGACAAACATAGTAAGACAAAAGCGCAGAAAGTGAGTTTAACATCACTATATTCTTTTGTTTTTGGACTTTCATTTTTATTTATTTGACATATGAATCAAATGGAATGCGACAAATTGTTCACCTTTGAATTGTAATGCCAGTAATAGCTCTTGTTTGATAAGACGTGTCGATTAAGTCATATGCCGTGTCATTGGTAACATTTGATGGCGTCTTTTTGTTAAGAATTGCCTACGTATTAAATTTTTTTACGGTACCTAGTAACGGAACGAATAAGGCGTGCATCTGGCGTCGCATATCTATTTAAAACTTTAAATCGCATAGATAGCAGCAAAATACTAGAGCTCCTTATAAAAGAGTTCGCCAGGGAATTCAATTTCTATGGCAGAAATGTTTGTACGGCCTACATTTATTTCTCCCGTGAGTTTGGGTGTAATTTGTGATTGTCTAGTCCCTAGTGCATGGCTGTGAAAACAAAAGTACTGCCACCATACCTATTTCTGCCTCCAAGCAGTAATTTGAGCATTACTGCGTTCCGGTTTTGAAGCGTAAGGATGACGGTGAAATTATAGGTACATGGGACCTTAGAATAATAACGCATAGAATGATAGTTTCATATCAAACGAACTGTCACAAGTGAGGCAAAAATCAAATTCATGTAGGCTAGTTTTAGTGGTTATATAAAAACACAAGTTGAAACGCGTTACTTCCTTGTGGAATGTGATGTTAGTATCTATTTTAGGTTTATTTGACGTATTTTTACACTCATTTGCCGCACATTTCGTCATTTTTAGCTAAAATTCTGGAGCTGTTCGCGGTGCAAGTTGACCTTGAGCACTGAAGGCCCGTCCGCTCGTGTATGCCCTTTGGGAGCGCTTCAATTTGCCTCACTTAGCGTGTGCGGACTAGGTTTCTATGCGTTATTATTCTAAGCATGAGACGTGTTAACTTATGTGTTACGGGCGTAGTGGCATTGCCATTTAGATCTTGGCAATTAAAAACCCCGAAAGGCACTTTATCTGTTATGGGTAGACGTGACGCTTTCCACCAGGCGCACTACTTGTTCGTTTTGTCAACTGATTTTGATATCATAATAAAAGGAAAACGGATCTAAAGGGCATTCTATTGCGGCCCTCACCCGGATACGTCGCAAATTCACAAGTCGCATGTGCTTGAAATTTCACTAGCACCCTTAACCCTTTAAAACAGAAACAGAACTTTCATAAGAAGCTCTACTGATACTAAGTTATTAGTATTTTACATGCAGTATTTAATTTTTACAAATAACCCTGTATATAGGGCGACCATTATTATTTTATTAAGGCCCGTAATAAATTAATCCATCTTAGCTACAGGGTCGATATTAAGATCTTACTTAAGACCACTGTCTATATTAGTTAACATCATTTGAATGCACATAATGATTACTCATTGACTTCTCATCGTTAGAAAGTTGTAAAAATTTCCACAATTAATTAAATGTCACTCAAAACCATCGAGTACATAACCAGAAATAGAGACGAAATAAGGGCCATATATTCCTGGTAACACATTAGCGATACAGCTCTTTTAAATATCAACTCTCGTTTGCACTGAAATATAGACAGGGCAACTACTGACCTGTGCGTACGTCTCCGTATATTCTAAAAAATATTCCGTAAAAATATTCTGTAAAAATATTCTGTAAAAATATTCTTATTTATTGTAATAAAGATAATATCTCTAACAATGCCGTGCTGTTCTATACGGTGGTGTGGGAAAAACAGGAAAACATCTAATTACAAAACAAACGGAATCACATTTCATTGGTAATTAAATATTAAATAAGTAATTTTGCAATTTTCGTCCATTATAGCAAAGCTCAACTTAACTGGTCGATTTGAAGTGAAACAGTTGCCGACACCCGTCAATTGTTTCGAACTCAGGCTGCCCAATCGGAGCGCAGTTGTCACAGTAATGATATGGCAGAATAGTTTTCAAACAAATTAAATGACATGTCGTCTCTATTTCTGGTTATATACCCGATGCTCAAAACTTATAACACGGTTGAAGGTGACTGTCAAGTATTAGCGCTTTTGCATACTGCATCCCATTCGTTTTCGTTCCGAATCTGAGACTATACAAATCTAGAAAACTCGGACCCACTTCGTATGTCTCTTGTGCACTAAGTCCCATTCGAATCCGAGAAAATGCGAATATCGCTTGTACACCTAGAGATAAAATGATCCCTGCGACATTTCGGACCGTCATTTCTCGGATGTGCAACGAATACGAATCAGATGCGGTGCTCAATCTAATGTAATCTCTACGCGATTCATAGGGTGCGTTTACACTGACGCGGAGCTGGGAAGAGCAGACCAGAGCTGCATTGAGCCGTGTTCCGATCAAATTCAATCTCTTGGAGAGATTATACGTCATGTCGTCGGTAAAAAAAGGGCAGCGCTTTTATTCGCATCTTTGGTTTCATTGCATTTGCATATTGTCAGTCGTGTGTCCCATATACATGGAGTTTTTTTTACACTTTCAATTACCTTCTCATCCATTTTAATTCACATTCAATGTCGATGATGAGTAAAATTTATGATGTAATATCGCTAACTAAACTAAAATGCAGCGCGCGAGTCCTTTCCTGACAAGTCTACCCTACTCGCCGAACGCTATACCAACTAAGCCACGGAACGAACCAACGGACCTCACGAATCTTTCTATGTGCTTGCGTCGTGTCTTTGTACTTGGTCTTTCAACGACTTCACCCTGAGTCATAAGTTGACAAGCCCCATGTGCCTGTAATTTGATCATGCTGACATTACTGCTTGGCGGCAGAAATAGGTAAGTACTTCCCTGGACGAACTCTTTGACAAGGAGCTTTACTGCCGCTGGTATTATTTTTATAAACGATCGCACGTGGCATTATCCAAGGGTTACTTATATCAGGTATAATCAATAAACCATAAAAGTTACCAAAAATATTCACCTCAGTTAATATACATAAAAAACTTAAATACTAGATAGACCTAGGTCTTTTTAAATAAGGTTGATGGGTGAAGTACTGTCCCTCGTTAAGTTGTCCAAAACGCTGGTAGTTGGGTAACTTAGCTGTCAGACCTCGAATCTGCCTTTGATCTAATAATAAGACTGAAAAATTGGATGCTGGGACAATACACTATCCTAGAGTTTTGACTCAAGTGGCTTGCACATGTTTTTTATGGTGTCGCTATCTCTGAGGTTCTGAAGTCGATCACCGGCAGGGTGAATATAGAACTGATTTTATTATTAAAAAAGTCGAACTACATTAAACAAATAGGCATATTATGTGTAATTTTGTCACTCTCTTATTTAATTAAAAAGTTCTTCTCTCCTGAAAAGTTGTCTTTTTGCAGATGTGGCTTTATTACACCAAGAGTACAAAAAGCCATATATTTGGTTGAGCTTACTGCTCAATACAACCGTATTTGACGCGTTCCTGTTAGTAAATGTGGTTTGAATTAAAGAATATAGTCTGTAGTAGGTCTAAGTAAGGTCTAAGTCCCTTAACATCAGATAAGACTGGCCAAACGAGAAAAATAGCTGGCCCCCAAAATATAACGAATTAAAAAATATTTACCCTGTATACGCGTTTGTGTCAAATTATATTTTATTTGCGAATGTTAAGAAAAGGACCACCACATATGAAAAATATTTAAATAATTAGATATAATAGGAATTAGTAGAGGCGAAGCTGCAAAGCCTTGAACACCGCCGTAGAGTTGCCAACTTATTGGTATTCTACAGGATATATCACGGAGAGTGTGCGATGGAATTGCATAATTTGATTCCGCCTTCCCCTTTTCATTACCGGTAGACTAGACGTGGGTTGGGGTTCCACCCCTATGTTGTGGATATTACCGGATTCTCACGAAGCGCTTCCACTTTGTATGGCGAGCAGCTAGGGAGTGGAATTCCCTGCCTGCAAACTTGTTCCCCGAAGGCTATAACTTAGACCTTTTCAAGGCGAAAGTGAATAGGCATTATTTAGGTGTGCATGCTACATCCTCAAACTCATTGTCACTTTCCGTCAGGTGAGACGGAGGTCAAATGGGTTTTGCTTTTCATTAATAAGAAAAATATCGTTTTTGATGACCTTCATGGTTGAGTAGCTTGCTCACCGGTTTTCATAGTATCGCCATCTCTGAAGATCCCGGATTCGATCCTCCGTCGGGTCATTGTAGAGACTAACTTTTCAATATTGTCTCGGGTTTGAGTGTTTGTGGTACCGTCGTTGTTTTCGATTTCCATAACACAAATGCTTTAGTTACTTACTTTGGAATCACAGTATCATATATTATATTGTCGAATATTTATGTATTTATTTTGACTTGCAACTTTTTTTATAGTATCAAGTGACAGGACGAACAAGTCGTGCGCCTGGTGTTAAGTAACATGCCTGTCCATAACAGTTGCAGTGTCACTCAGAGCTTTAAACCGCAAAGATTTCGGGGGCACTGCCACTGAGAACGTCACTCTGAGGCATAGGTTGACAATCCCATATATGTGCAACTTCACCAGCACCCTTATCTTTCAAAACCGCAATGCAGTAATGCCTACATCACTGCTTGGCGGTAGAAATAAATAAGGTACTCCAAAAGTAGGAATGCCTTTAGCTCAAAATGTTACAATTTCAAACTGCGATTATTAGAAAAGTAAAAAAAAAAAATATTACGGTCAATTCTCACTACAAATTAGCAACGCTTTTTACACGAAAATAAAGCGTAAAACTCACTGAACTTGAGACGAAAATCTTCAGCACACATCTAGGTCATTCAACATTCATCTTCTCGCTACCTAACCCGATTATACAAAAACAGGCTTCAGACCATATACTATAGTACTTACAACTTCTACCTTTCACTCTTAGATCTAGAAAACACTTTCACTTAACAAAACTTCACATTAAATGTCTCAATACCAATCTATTTCTATTTTAAAAAATATTTAAGTAACTTTTATTTTGTACTAGCTACTCGTCATTGCAGTAATCGCGTAAAAGAATTTCAAATTAATTTCAAATTTATTCGTTTTTGTTTTCAAATTAAATTTTCGAAGTTCGAATTTTTTAATCGATCGATGCGTGTTTTTTGTTTTTTAACGATCGTCAGTCGCGTACGGAGCGTTGTGGTGGACTGTCGCTCGTTTTCTAACCAACCAGTATTACTAAAGCAAGGCCCGTTTCACACTGGATGCGCTGTCTTGATTTTGATTACAATGGCATCGAGACATAGTGTAATTTAGATATTAGTAACTGAACTTGCTCGAAAGATAATAACAAATTGTTTGCCACCTACATGTTGTAAAGTTATCTAAAATCATAAATGACAAATTTCCAATAATGAGCCTGTAGTTGAGGTTACATAGGATTTAACTTTTACTAAAATAATAAAAAAAAGTCACTAAATGGAATATTTATACTGATTTTTAATAGTATATTATTATTAATACAAAAAACGAACACTCAGAATAAATTCACGAATCAGCAGACCTCACGAATTTTTCTATGTGCTTGCGTCGTATCATTGTATTTAGTTTTTCAACGACTTTTTAGCCGTAGCGCCATCTATGAGAAATCTATGATATTTCTCCACCTAGTTAGATACCTTTCGGCCTAAACACTCGCCTGAGAGGAGATCCGTGCCAAGCACTGGGACATGAGTTGATGATGTTATTTGGTTGCAAATAAATGTCTAAAATTGAACTCGAAAAGTGACTCGTGCTCAAAATAAAGAATTTTTATAATATCAAGTGACGGGACGAACAAGTCATGCTCCTGGTGGTAAGCGACACGCTGTCCACAACAGTTGTATTGCCACTCAGAACTTTAAACCACAAAGATCTGAAGGGCACTGACGCTGCGCCAGTCACCCTGATACATAACTTGACAAGTCCCATGTGCCTGTAATATCACCAGCACCAAGAACCACGTAAAGTGGCAATACTTCCCTAAAGATATAAAACTAGTATTTCTTACACTGTGATATCAATTGTTTCACCTTTATAATGTATGCAGGAAAGCATGTGGTTGATGGTAAAACTTAATCACTAGTTCGCGGTTCGTTTGATAGGCTTTGGCGTTCCGCAAGGAATCGTATTAGTACCGATGCTCTTTACGGTTGATAATAGACAGATTAGTAAATGTAATTAAAATGAAATTGATTCACATCTATATCAATGTCAAAATCAATACAAATATAATGTATTAAAAAATAACCATAACAAGATAATTGGATGTACCTGTCATATGTGTCATTAAGTTCATGTTCATCGTGATCGGGAGAGGCGGATCCCGCTCGGCGGCGCCGTACCTTCGCGGCTGCGGGCGATCGGAGCTTGGTGGCTTGGTTCATCAGTAAGCCGCGAGGAGGGGGAGGACGTAGCTCCTTCTAGATGCTGGGCGGGCTCCGGTGCGCAAAGTCGATCCCGGGTCATTCCCACTAGAGCACCCGACAAGGCTACCGTGGGGTTTTAGCCGGCCGAAGTCCGGCCGATAACCTGTCCGATAGAGGTATCCCAGTAGGATTTTCCCTCGCAAAAAAAGCTTCATTTGCGGTGTGGCCTGCGTTAAAATACGTGATAGTAATATTATAGTTAGGAAGCTCTACTCCGATTCCCAGAGATGCCTGCAATTTACTAATCATTACTTACTTCAATGGCAAAGCAATCCGGTAAACAAAGTGGTAAACACGTGATATCACCAATCCGCATCGATCACCATGGCAGACGAACGCCTAACTACTAAAAGGAGAACCACGCAGAAAAGTGGAATTTGTATAATAATAATAATGTGCCAGAAAACTACGTCAATTACCTGGTCTTAAACTAATGAATTCCCTATTCTAGGGCACTTACCAGAACACCCAGACCAGAACCTATTTTGAAAAGTTAATTTTCCAAATTGGTTCTACCGGGAATCGAAACCAGGACCTCCGTATCCAGCCTCACAATGTAAATCGTTAGGCTGTCGAAGCCGTCATACCTTAATACAATATCTTAAACAAAATACTTTATTAGTAACATTCAATGCACCCACACCTTTATAATCAGGGCGCAGCCTCCGTAGCGAAAGGCAGTTTTGTATCTAACATTTTTTTGTTTTTTTTTATTATTATTTTTTACTTGTTACTGCTAGTACGCGACCTTGAAATGTGCAGTAGTTGAAAACGCTACTAAACATTGAAGCTTCGAATTGCAGAAAAAAATTAAAAATGCAAAGGCAAAGTAAGGTCCAAGATTTAGGAGATCGGATAACGGAGATCAAGTGGAGCTAGCAGGACATATAGCGTAGTGAAGACAGGTTTATTTACAAAAAATATATGAGTAATTGTAACTTTATTATAAAAAAATAAAACTGATCTCAAAAGTTCGTTCGTAATTACATAAAATAATATATTTGCCAATTTTTATTGAAATCGGTAAATAGAAAGTGCGCGAAACCGGATTCATCCCCTAGTTATACCACCCTTAAAAGTGGAATATTTTCTTCGAATTTAAATATGACCAATACTAAGACACCCGACTAAAAAAAGAATCATCAAAATCAGGTTGCAAAATCAGGTTATCGCGTATCATACATAAAAAACAAACAATCGAATTGAGAACCTTTTCTTTGTTTGAAGTTGGTTAAAAATATGACAATAAAACGTCTGCCCTCCGCTAACTAAAGTGACAAAATAGTTTTTTGAGATGTCATAAAAACCGTAACGCAATTTCAGAATATTGAAATTGTTTAATGATAGTTCAGTTATGCATCGTTAGGGTAAGTTCCGATAAATCGAACACATTAACTAATTTTAATTGTTTTTAAAAGAGAATTTTGTGTTCTATCTTTTTCTGTTTGAAACGGTTATTTGACCATTTGTCACTTACTCACGTTTTAGTTAATGGACGGCAGAAATAATGATATTCAATAACTAAATATTGTAAAAAACGGGTTACTTCTTTTGTGGAGACTTGCATAACTTTAGACCTCTCGCTAGCAGATGAAGGAAAATTTGGTGATGAAACATGAATGTCTAAGAGTCGTATTCTAGAACTCTACTCAATGCTCAAGTCAGGTATGCACTGGAAACACAAGCACTGGAAATACGACCCTAATGGCAAGGACTTGAGTATGATTTCGAGTGCTTTAAACCAACTCAAATCCTGACTTGAGCATTGAGTAGAGTTCTAGAATACGACCCTAAGAATGTTCACAACAAGAAAATGCATTAGGCTGGGGTGGCGGATTCTGACGTAAGCCTTCATGATAATGAAGATCATCATTCTCGTGATGAAACCGAAATTATAATTACATATAGGTTTATTATTGTGATAATATACAGGTAAGGTACAATTAAAACTATAATACTGGGCAGTAAAATTAGAATTTTTAAATTATATGAATAAAATTGGGTCCCCGCGGCAAGGAGCCACGGCAATGCTGGCAACGTTCCCCCTTTGAATGGCTATGCTAATGCGTTGGGGAAAGGCCCTTAGATTTCCCAGACAGTCTAAAAATTTTTTAGATAACATTTTGTACATATAAAGGGCACTGGGACCCGACGAGTCAAGGGTTTCGATTCCAAAAGCTGTAAATAGGTAGTCGGAACCGAGATCCTGGTACTTATTACTTTTTATTCTTTCCACCAGCTCAGCTGCGGAGCCAGCCCTCTTGCTGATGAGCTGGTAATGGGGTGGGGCAAGTGTGTCGGCACATGTGGCGTCTCACACCAGTGCCCGGCGGCCCATACTACAAGGGATGAGAGTCATTCCGTCCGGGCGTTTGTCATCTGTTCGCGACATGCCACTTGGCTCGAGTATAGGAGACACGTTATGAATAATAATAATAATAATAATAACGCACATACTCAAAGCCCCGCAATAAGAAAAACCCTGTATCGCGGGTGCCATGGACACACACAGACTACCACAAATTACATCCAAATTCATGGGAGATATAGATATTAGCCATTCAAATATTTCTCCCGGCTCGGACATCGAAACCGGGGCCTCTGCGTGGAAGATCAAGATGGAAACCATTCGGCCACAGAGGCAGTTAATATATTTTCTAAATTGGTTCTGGTCTAGATGTTCAACAGTGCCTTTCGAGTTAATTTTGGTGCTCATAGTGCTGGGAGTTCCCGGTTCTAGACCAGACAGTAGACGCGTCGGATAATTTATTTATTTATACATTTTAGGAAAATTCACGGACAAATAATATAATTAGAGTGTAGTATACTTAAATATGAGTAATCCAATGCCATTTACGAATTTCCACCAACATGAAACAATATAAAGTGCTTACCAAGTCCAAAAAAAAGAGATTATAGGAGAAAACAAAGAACATAGTCACTAAATTAAAAAAATTAGATAAAAATTAAAAATACTATTATTAAACAATTAAATGAACAATCCAGTGTATTCATAGCCAATCACATGTTATGTCAAAGTGACGTTTGGTCATTTCTCGCCTGACTGTGTCTATGCTTGACCAAAACAAATCAAATTCAGAATGATTTACTGTCGCATTCTTAAATAAGTTATTATTATGAGGAGATTTTTGTATTACAAATATTATGCATTTATTTTTTACATGATATATATGGCAAAAGCATAGACAAATCTCTTGAAGGAACTCGGCTTACCTTCCGTAGGTTTGAGATCGTCGACAACATTATACATACTATATTTTAGTTATATACCACTTAGAATAATAACGCATAGAATGATAGTTTCATATCAAACGAACTGTCACAAGTGAGGCAAAAATCAAATTCATGTAGGCTAGTTTTAGTAGTAGGTTAATTTTCGGTTTTAGTGAATATTTATATAAAAATACAAGTTGAAACGCGTTACTTCCTTGTGGAATGTGATGTTAGTATCTATTTTATGTTTGTCTGACGTATGTTTACACTCATTTACCGCACATTTCGTCATTTTTAGCTAAAATTCTTGATCTGTTCGCGGTGCAAGTTGACCTTGCGCACTGAAGGCCCACACGCTCGTGTAGGCCCTTTGGGCGCGCTTCAATTTGCGTGTGCGGACTAGGTTTCCATGCGTTATTATTCTAAGTTATATACTATATTTTTTATTTAAGTGTAATATTGTTATATTTATTATGTAATATATGATAGAGAATTAAACAAT